TCGACAATCGCTGTTCGCCATTCTCCCCAACAAGGTTTTTTGAAATAACTGTATAATTTGGGTCTGTAGAATGGTTCTCTTTTGTGAGAGAGACTTGGAAGAAATCTAGCCTTACTTATTGTGTCTCTAAAGCCAAAGCACTTTTTATTTATTGAAAACAAAAAAAAAACACAATCATCCAGATAAACAAAAAAGACATTCAAGAAGTTAGAAAAATAGTGACTATATACTTGATTGAGTTTCTTAACGTACTTCAATCTGACTACTTGTCGTGTGCTCTCACTCCATAAAATAAAATTTAATTTTCAGACTACAGAACTGGAGGTCGTACACTGTATTTAAATACWGGTCTTAGCAGTAGCGTCAACTGGGGAAGAAGAGTATTAACAGAGGAAGCTGACATTGTTACTGCTCACGGTATGAACGTCGTTGTTGTTTTTGTTTATTATAAAAATAATATTTATAGTTGATTAGTATATTATTGACACCATAAATCTACTATTTAATAGATAATTACTTTGGCACGCAGCATTCGTAGGTATAATGCAGGCATTATACCTATGAATGCTGTGTGCCAAAGTAATTATCTAGTATAACTACTGATGTTTTAAGAGTTTTATTGTGAATGTATGGTGCTGTTCACCTCATTATTAATACTTTATTTTTTTATTGYTGTTTCATATATTTTGATATTCTTGTTTCTTGGACTATTTCCAGAGTTTGGTRAGTATCATATTTCTTGTAGTATCAAATTTTTGTTTTCCAACCAGCAATACAAAGTTAGTATTGAATCAGATAAAAAGTCTGTCCATGAGATTGTATAATTTGGCTAATGATATAACTAAATGCCACTGACAGTTTGYACCTGTAGGCTTTTAATGTTTCTCTTTTCTGGTTTTCACTCAGTTTTGATTGATTGTAATAGTCTAAAAGGGATAAGACTGACAGAAATTCCCAAATAACCATTATTCCAGAATAACTGAGGCCAACAGAGAGAAAAACAAGAGAGACKTGAATGTGATAATTTGAATGCATCTCTATAAACTGCAATTTATTAAATTTTCTGAGCTATTATTTTGTGGAAACCTCTTTTTGCTGTTAACTTTATTAAAGCAATGCGGACTATTAAGATTCAACTATTATAATGGAAGATTTCTGTTAGAGGGGTGTGTTATGTGGGTGGGGTAGGGAGGGACTAGGGGTAAGGGTTAAGTGAGAGGGGTGGGGTAGGGACTGATTTGGGGTAGATGATGTCTAGGTAAGGAGGTGGGAAATCTCCTGGAAGAGACACCTAATATGTGGAGGAATGTTAATTGAATATTGTGAAGGTCAAAATGTACCTTTGATAATCTTTTAGGGCATAATTTTGGAAGTGAACATGATCCTGAAGATAATGAATGTGCACCMAGTGAGCGCAGTGGTGGAAAGTTTATCATGTATCCTGCTTCAGTCAGTGGTCAAAGGTCAAATAATAAGGTATATATGTACATTGAATTCATATTTTTAACAATCTACATACATACAGTACATGTGCAGTATTACCTGATATGCACCTATTAAATAATTAAAAAAGGTTCTCCTGAGATTTAGTGATTTTAAAGGWTGATTTACACGGCACGATTGTCTCGTGCGATTTGTAGTATACGACTTGAATCGCGCAGTGTAAATGCCTCTACGACTTGTCTACAACAGTCGTACGCAACCTACGACTTGTAGTAGGATTTTGAACCACTGCTTAAAATCCTGCGACTTGTAGTTATGTAGGAAAATCGCATACTACAAGTCGCGCGCGACAAATCGTACCGTGTGAATCAGCCTTAAAAGGAACTTAAACTTTGAATTGAAACTTTGAACTTTGCAATATGCACTTTGTAGAACACCACTGTCAATCAGCCATGATAATTACTCTGATGAAGCTTTTAAAACTATTCTTAAAATGATTATTAATGCTAGTGACTTTTGTATTTTTCACAGCTTTTTTCACCATGTAGCAAAAGACAAATCAATGCAGTCTTACAGTCCAAGGCCCAGTATTGTTTTATTGGTATGTAATATGTACAGTGATGTTGTATCTCCAGTGAACAGACACATGCACCCTTGGCAACTGAAAAAAGTGTCCATTTTGGTAGAGCAACATGTAGTTGTGCAATAAAAGATAAATTTTGACAGCGTAAAACAGGTGAAACAACTTCTTACTACTATACCTTACTACAACTTTCCTGCAAAAGGATCTTTATTTTTTTAGTAAGTTATTTCACCTTTTGTTCTTACCGTGTTAAAATTTATCTTTTTGTACAAATGTTTGACTTTAGAAACACCAACACAGCTCACACTTCTAGTTTACCACAGCTAGAGTGGTTTTCCGTCAACCATGAAAACACAATAAGTCTTATAGTTAGTTAGTAGTTTGTAATAGACCAATACTAATAGTCTAGTCTTGTATCTGATTGATAGGTATAAACATATTCATCACAAAAACAATTTTTTTTTATTTTAAATTTTAATGGTCATTTTTGTTATGGCAACTTATTAAACCAAACGTTTAATTTATTCAAACTAGTCTGTTGTTTGTTATCTGTTCGTTTATAGTTTATAYGTCTAAAAGTTATATTGACTAGTCTATTACTTATTGCTACTAACTAGTTGGTCTATTTCTTTTCATGGTTGACGGAAAATCACTCTATAATAAATTCCACCATAGGTAGAAATGTCTGCCTATATTTTAAGTACACTGAATACAGTGTGGAAATGTTAATAATACACTGGGAAATTTCTGACAGCTCCCTGTCTCTCTCTCTCTTGTTGTACAGAACCCAGAAGTGAAATTTGTGGCAACTATAAGAAGGAGCCTGGGGAAGAGTGTGATCCAGGGAGTCTGGGAACAATTGATACYCCATGTTGTACTAAAGACTGCAAACTGAAGAAAGATGCACAGTGCAGGTATTATCGTGTTTTGAAGCTTTCCTAACCTTTCTTTCCTTAAAGTTTCCTTTTAAAATCAATCCACCAATGGATGTCATGTTATATTAGACTTACTGCGAGTAAGGCATGATTAAAAGAATAACGAAGTTGTATTTWAAWTTATTGTCTTTYAGCGATGGTTATGACAATCCTTGTTGYAAGAATTGCAAATATGCTGCYGGTAAAGTCTGTCGTCGAAGAGATCCAAACTTTTGCCAGGATGAGACAATATGCCGACCGAATGATGCCAAATGTCCTCCGGCGCCACCACTTCCTGATAACACTGTTTGTGTTGAGAGGTAACAACTCATATACTCATATCATACAATCCTAACAGTATAAATGTACATAGTTACCTGACTAGCATACCTCATAATGCCCTGTATTATATGTTATAAACACCTTCAAATATAGAGAACTTACCAAAATTCCTGGGGGGGAACTCCCTTATAAAAGTTGGTAGGTATGCTTGATGGACGGATTGAAAAATGACCCYAAAAGGTACGCATAAATTTATTCAGGTATCGATTCTAGGTTAATAAAATCGATTTCTTTACACTTCTTCAATGTTTTCGATGTTCAAAAATTGATCCTAAAAGCTAGGTATGGAGTCAGCTCAGCACCCTAGAGGGTGCACAAGGGTTATATTTTGGATCCTAAAAGGCCCGTTGAGCATACCTACCAACTTTTGTTGGGATTCMCCCTTMCCCCTCCCCCCYYCCCCCCTCCCACCCACTACGGGCCAAAATTTCACAGAATGATCCTTATTCTTGCACCTTTTTCACTGTGTATGTAATATAATCATAATTTATCATATAATCTACTACTATGAATTACCTACTAGTGGAAATATGTTTCTCTCTTTTCGAAAAATTGTTATTCATTTTAACTAAAAAATGAAAAAAAAAATAACACATTTAATTTGCTTAAAAGTATAGCTTATTTGTATGTGATAAAGTCATGAATATTATGATATTTTTCTTTCAGGGGGAAGTGTCGGTCTGGCAAGTGTGTTGAGTTTTGTGTCTCAGAAGGCATGGAACCATGTTTATGTCAAGAATCAGATAATGCTTGTAAGGTTTGCTGTAAAAAAATCAATTCTACACAATGCCTGCCATGGAAGAATGCTACCAGTGGAGAAATGTTTACAATGGTGGACGGGCGGCCATGTGCATCAGGAAGTTGTAGAAAGGTAATGCACATTGCATGTATCTAATGTACTGCAGGTCGCAGCTTCTRGAGTCGGGATTGGGAATGGGATCAGATGTAAGAAATGCATTGRATCACTCAATTATAGGGGATCATTGGAAGCAGTGATCATGATTTTAGGTTTAACCACGGTCTACACGTTATTTTTATGTGACAACTATATGTGGCAATTTTATATGAAGCTCGTTCACACGGGCAATTTCAATACGTGACAATTTTTAGTTTTCAAATGAAAACTAGCATGCCAGCTTTCCAGCAACTACAGTTGTCACATAAAAATTGACCAATTTTGCTCATCTACATGGGCAATTACAAAATTGTCAAATAAAAATTGCTTGTGTAGACGACGCTTTAGGATCAGGATCGTTGCTACTGGAGTTGGGATTGGATATGGGATCAGCTGTAAGAATGCAATAGATCACTTAATTTTAGGGAATCAGGGATTAAAAAGGAAATTTGGTACCAGAAATCAAACATTTGTCCCATAAAATGGTATTACAAGAATAAATATAATGTATACCATGTCACTACCAATGTTACTCGTTGTGAAACGTTTCTTTAATTCATTTGCTTCTGGGAGAAAAAATAATACCACAGCCTGGAAGATAGGTGATTATTTTGGAATAAACTCCATTGCTGTACCAATTCTTTTCCATTCTACAAAATAAAGTGAAATTAAAAAAAGATATTACCGTTACGGTAATTTCCCTTAGTACGCTCTAATTGCCTTGTTTTCTTTTGTGTATATTTGACTATTATCACACTTGAATAGTCAAATGTTTTGCACGGGTTTAATGACGTCCATTCTCGAACACAAATCCTTCTCAGTTTCCCAAAAGGAAAATCGAAGGCTCTCAGGCGCGGATCCAGGACTTTGAAGTGGGGGGTGAATTGCTAAAATAATGTAATAAAATGGAAGCCAAACGCCGTAGCCGGGAGGGGGTTAGGGGGGCAACTCTTTATTGAACAAATTTAAGCGGAATTTAGTACGCAATGCTCACTTGAAACAAAGAATCTCTCACGTTTAAAACTAGTATTTATCAAGAACAATGAGAGTTTACCGTGTACACACGAATATACATTACACCCACTAATGTCATCTAGGCTATTTACTGCCCCAAAAGTGATTGTTCCATCCTCCTCCTTGGATGGAGTTCCATAAATGCTCGGCAAATAGTAGGTTGAATCAATCAGTCTTTGGAGAAATCAATTAATATTTCAATATTTGAGGGATAAGAGAAAAATAAGGAAGAAGAGCTTAGAAAAATGGGGGGGGGGGGGTGGCTAGCCACCCTATTCAGCCCCCCTAGATCCGCCCCTGGCTCTGCAAAGAGACCTAGAATCTGGATCGTATGATATGATGCATGGGAATTTTTGAGCAAATCAAACCAAAGAATCATTCGTTTCCAGTCAGAGTCTTTTTTGGGAAACTGAGAAGGATCTGGGTATGAGAATGAATGACTTCACTCAGAGATGTTAACAAATATTATTTTCTAGGGAAAATGTGAGCAAATCACACAAGATGCTGTAGAGAAGTTCTGGACATTCCTGACCAACTTAGACGCCAATGCGTTTGTGGAATTCATGAGGGCTAACATTGTTGGAACTATCATGTTTTTCTCTCTCTGTATTTGGATTCCAGTCAGCTGTATCATTCACAGGATTGTAAGTTTGAAGTTTATTATTGTTTTATCCTTTTTTTCATTTTGACATCTAACTGTCATTATACTGGGAAAATACTGGAAATCACATTTTCGAGGTTTAAAATTTCAAAAATTCCCCTGCTTGAGCCAGCGGTAGTTAGTCCCCCCATTCAATATGCTCTGCGGTCATTGTCAGGAAATTGGAACACTTTATTGGCACTCTTCATTCCCTTTATAATGTGTCCAAAATGATGTATATTGATGTAAATTTGATGTAAACCATTTACATCAAATTTTACGACCTTTAAAGCGCACGATTTTTTCCAGTTTGAATAAGGATTTATCAGGTGAATAGTGCTATCCACCCTTCCTACAATAAACCCTGTTTTTTTTCCTGCGTCCTGTACTTCTTATATTCAAATCAAGTCTTGGTACATCCTTACTGCTTCCTTGTTTTTTCCGCTAAGTTTTCTTCATGTTCCCTAGGTTTAGACT